GCTACTAGGAACAAGTGCATCGCTTCTAGTAACAAGTGCCTTACTAGTAGTAACAAGAAGCTCTATTTACTAATTCTTGTTTCTAATAGCTTCTTGTTACTACTAGTAAGGCCCTTGCTCCCACTTGAAGAAGTTGCCATTCTCCAGGAAAGGCCATCTTCACCAATCCTGCTACCGCGGTGAATTGTGGTGGGGCACCTCAAAAGATCGCCTATCTGGCCGAAGCCAAGTGGAGAAAACGAGGACAACTGTTCTTGCTCTGATTGATTGTTTCCAAATGATATGTTTTGACTTGTTTATTGTTGTTCAAATAAATCAGACCCTTGCTTTTCTTAAACATTCAGTCTTTCCTGTCTTCTCAGATTCGCAAGGGTTCGCCTGTCTCTAAAGTCTCTTCTCTTCGCTCTCCTCCTCCTCCTTCTCGTCCTGGTCATTTTCCTCCACTATCCTTCTTGTCCACTGCAAGGTTCTTTGCTTTTGCCCTGTTGAACAGTTCACTAGGGTCCCCAAGTCCCTACTCAACCTGGGTCTTGGTGTTGGAGGCCATCGCTACTAGGGTGGAGGCCTTCCTGGGGCAGCCTTTGCGCTCATCAAACCAGGAGTTCGCCAGAATATTGACATCGAATTCATCACAGCGACTCCAGGCGGGGAATTGGTTCAAGACTGCCCTTCGGTGACCTTCCTGCACATGGAGATAAAGGATTCTTACACCTTCCGTGTTCTTTAGACTTTCCCTTTTTTAAATCATGGTTTTTTAAACAGACTCGCACACGTCTTCTCGACAGGTTTTTTGGTCCTTTTCCTTCGACTTTCAGACCTTTAACGGCTCCTTCTTTCTCCTTGTTTTGCGATTCTTTGTTTAGACCTTTTGCGCGCGAAACAATCAATTTAGACCTTGCTGGTTCCTCAATGAACTCCGATTGTGATTTCGAGTTCCTTCGACCTTCGCTTCATGGGAAAGTTCTTTTCTTGAGGCATCTTCGCGTGTCCAGAGTACAAGATCGCCTTGGAAAAGCAAATGGCACAGAAAGGTGGGAACGGCTGTTCGGATATCATCATTCAGAGGGAGTAAACATTTGGTACATTGTGCGAGAGCTGCGGATCATTGCGCCATGTAAGAGCTGCGCAAGAGTTTGTCCAAGGGTAGCCATCATTTTCAGCTAGGCTATATGTGACATGTGGAGAAGGCTTTGAATCCAGGTTTGGTATGTCACATGAAGTAAGAATGAGAGATCATTCATTGCAGGAAGTCTGCAGGTAAGAGTAAGGCTGAGTAAGGAGTGTTTGGCATCCCAAGCTGCTTATAGGCGGCTTTGGGAGGCTTTTGTAAGTTGGTTTTGGAAGATACGCTTTGACGGTCTGACCCCTAGGCATCACGCCGTCAGTGAAGACGAACCTGGTGGAAGTGGATGGTGATAGAAAGATCGCGGTCTTTGAACAAGAAGGCCATTCTGTCGGAAAGACAAAGGAAGGAAGCACAGAAAGATCAAACAGATTCAAAAAGTGTCAAGAAAAGAGGAGGGAAAGAACGATAGCGATCATTTCCTTTTTTTAAGAAAGAAGACACAAAAAAGAAAGCATGGCCATCGCTACTAGGTTGGAGGCCATCGCCGCAAATGGACCGCGATGTGACCCTTTGGGGTGTGTTGGGCCATTCTGACGGCCCCTCTCGGACCCAACGATGGGGATTCACCAGCGACCAGCCACACAACGTCTGAGCTTGGGGTCTACGTGCTACAATTCGACTACGAGTAGCTTCTTGTTACTAGTAGTAAGAATGCTCCTAGTAGCGATGCCCGGAGCCCCTAGTAGCGTCCTTGCTCCTAGTAGCGATGCCCTTGCTACTACCATGTGATGTACCATGTGATGTACCATGTGATGTACCATGTGGTGTACTGATGTGTACTGTGTGTACCACTGCTGAGGCCACCCTTAGCTTTTCACACTCTAGTGGGGAAGAGCTGGCGCGATTCGTGGAAATCTTTGAAGGGGTGAACATGTGCGAAGCCCTCTTTTCTTTCTTTCTCTCTCTCTCTGCTGAAATCGATCCGAATCACTCCAAAAAAGGAACCTTCCGAGCCCGACTTCGGAAGCTTTTGTCGTCGACCAGACCCAGACGGGCCGGCTTTTTTCGTCGAAGTCGAGGAAGGCGGCGTACGACGAAAACGCGTCGCTCGCATCGCAGGTGGCGAAGTGATCACCAAAGAGTTCGACTTTTTGCACGTGACGCCGCCCATGAGCGCCCCAGACTTCGTGAAGTCTCTTGGAGAAAACACCAGTGGAGGCCATCGCTATTAGGTTACTGGACAGAAACAAGACTCTCAGGTCCTCTCAAAGGTCTTATATAAGTCCTCTCAGGTCTGAATGTGAAAGGAGTGAGTGATAACAGGTAATGGCTATGTATGTGGGAAGCTTGTGTGTTTGCTGCCTCAGCCATTTTGGACCTTGCCAAAAGGGCTCTATGGCTTTGAACTACCATGTCGGACAGCTGGTGGTGGTGCGGGACGATGAGGAACAAAATTGGCATTGTGCACGCATCTACCAGACATCTCCGGTCTTGGTGAAGCTTCGACCACGAAGTTCTCCATCAAAATACAAATTCATGAAGCCCTTGGAAGCTTTGACGGAACATGAGGCCAAGAATGTCTTAGCTTTGGAACAGCAACTGAGGAACGGTATGGACCTTGGTCCAGATCCTCCTCCAATGGGCCTAACTGCTGAGGAGCAAACGGCCTATCCATCCATTGCAGCAAAGGCAAATTCTTCCTTCTTGACAGTGATCTTGCTGATTGGGACACTGTCCCCGGTGATCTTGAACAATCTTTGGCTCATGACGGCAAATGTTGTGAATGAAGGAGATGGGCACCAGCACTTCTGGTGGTACACTCTAGTCTTCGACAACTACTTCATGATTGTGAAGGGCCTCATGTTCTCGGCCTTCTTCTACGCCTTTTTGCCAGAGCCAGCGAAAGGTGGGACTGCAGCAGTACTTAAGTCAATGGCTGAATCGGAGTGTGTTTATTCAACTGCTCAAGAATCAATCCACGTGTTTTGGGGATGTTGCCTGAAACACCGAATTGTTGGCAACGTCGCTGTTGATGAATCTTGTTTTCATTTCTGCAATGGTGTATGCTGCAAGCAGCTTTAGGGTATGTTTATTCGGGTTGATGCTTGTAACTAAGCTTGTGGCTTGTTTCCGCATGATGGGAGGTCACCGCAAGTGGTTGTATTGGCTTCTTGCCATAATGTGGCCACTCTTCTCCTTTCTCATCCACATGTCTCTTTTCCGAACTTCAGAGTGGGCGATGTGGGAGATGGGAGAGACTTTGAAAAGACGTGAAGGTTCTTGTTCCGTTTCGTTTCGACATGTTCAGAAAGTACAACGTTCGGCACTGAGGCTGTGGTTGGCGGTGAACACGGTGGGCTCAGATGATGCATGGGGCTTGATGAAACTCAACTTTCCCGTGGGTGCTTCTGCGGCCGTATTTGCGTGGATGCCTTTGTGCCTGTACGCGCCTTGGCCAGGTTTTCATGCAATTTTTTTGATGGAAGGTATATTTACTTTGTTGTTTTTTGGTTGGTTATTTTTGTTTTGTATTTTTTTGGTGGCTTTTGGTGTTTGATCGGCAAAAGGCGGTGTTTTGAGCAGCCAAGGGGCAATACAGTCGAGAGGAGCGCTTTTTCGCCACCAAGAGATTTGTGGTGATCATCGTCATTTTGGTGGCAGACCTCATTTTCATCAGTTCCTCACACTTGGTCTTGCTTCTCTTCAAGGCTTTCGGAGATGGAGAGTTTGGGGCACCAGACCCACTGGTGAGAGCCATCGTGGAGTTGGCATTCCTGTTGGGATTCATGCAAGGCCGGGTCGCTCTCTTTAACCTCCGCCAAACTTAATTTATTTGCAGCATTTTGCAGCCATTGCAGCTAATGCGCCATCAACCAAGCGGTTTGGAGTTTGGTCGTCGCAAGGGATGGAGAAAAGGAGACAAGCGAAGCAGGAAAAGGAAGGGAAAGGAAGGGAACTAGGGTGGAATGTTTGCGCAGCGGAAAAGGGTTGACTCGCGCGGCTGGTGCGGTGTCCATTTCATGTGCCAGCGTGTTGGATGTGGAGAATCCCTCAACGTGCACATGCTCGGGCGCGCCAGGATAAGCACCACCCTCACCATGCTTCAGTGTCTCAAGGCCATTGTTGTTCTTCTTCTGTACCATTCGCCACGCACACATCCAGCGTGGGGGTCAGCAGGTTTCTTTAGCACGCTTTAGAACAGGTGCTCGAGTCTTAGCTCAATTGACTCAGCACGAAAGGGAAACACCGTTTTTGTGAGAACCAAACGTTGGCATGCCTTACATGCTCGCACCCGGCCAGTCTACCTGCCCTTGCTCGGGAAAGTGTGGCAGATTGGATTGTTGCTCTTCGACACATTGGCTCCGATGAAGGACTTGCAAAGGCAGCGCATGCTCTACTTTGCCACAGTGATTTTAGACATGCACCGCTACATGTACGTTCGGGAGATGATGTAGCTTGGCCGCCTTGGCCGCCTGGGCCGCCTTTGCGCTGTTGATGTTCGGTCCACGGAGTAGAGCTCCAATTTTTGTCCAAGCAGTGAAAGCGCCAGACAGCTAAGGTATATGACAGCTAAGGTATATGATGTAGCTTGACTTTTCAACATCTTTTGCTCCTCGATTTGATGGTTCCTTTTCTTCGGGCCTCCGTTCGAAATCTTCTGAGAACGAGGTATGCGACCGACTCCGTGACGGTGGTCATTTGCATGGTCTTCAAGGATTTTCCTTGGCCTCCCTACTAGCGATGGCCTCCATCCTATTAGCGATGGCCTCCAAGTCTACTAGCTCTTGGTCGTAAGGCACTTGTTACTAGTAGCGATGCACTTGTTCCTACTAGCTTCTTGTTACTAGTAGTAAGGCACTTGTTACTAGTAGCGATGCACTTGTTACTACTAGCTTCTTGTTACTAGTAGTAAGGCACTTGTTCCTACTAGCGAACATTGTCGTCCAGGATTTCGTGTATGATGTCTATAACTTTGGCATGTGCTCATCTCCAGCTCTGCTGTCGGCGTGGCTCATGGGCGTTCCGACCTGGAAGCTTTTCCTGGGAGCGAGTGAGGCACCTCAGGAAAGAGAAAAACTCTTGGAGGTCATGTCGCTCTTGTGACTGCTCTTTTCGCGATGCCTTTTAAAGAAGGATCTAACATGATCTAACGGAAGGTAGCATTGAAAGGTCTTCTTTTCCTGTAATTAGGGCCCCAACAGTCTTTTTCTTTCCTACCTTTTTGTTCTTTCGTTCTTTAGTGGTTTTTGTTTTCCTTCTGTTTTTCTCTTAGAAACGGATGCATGTTCTCCGCTGTCCCGGACCTCTCAGTCAGGTTCGGGTGGCTTCTTCTCGAATCTACGAGACCTGCATCTTCGTGGTGAAGCTCTTGTCGGATTTCTTGGAGCTCCCTCGGTGCCTCACGCGTGTTTTCACGTGGACCATCGACTGTGGCTACCCCAAGCACACTTCTTCAAAGAGCTTCTGCTTCGCGGAGACTGAGGCGGTGCACGAAAAAAACAAGTCAGAATGACACGTCAGAAATGGTTAGGAAACCCCTTACTTCGAACAAGAACGCTTTTGAAGGTGTTTCCTTTCTTTCTTTGGATCGAAAAAAGCAACGACCGACTTGGGGGCCGCTCGATTGCCCGTCCAGGTGAAGTTGGTGAACGTTCCCAGTGACTTTGGGGCGGAGTTCAAAGAGTGGGCCTACAAAACGGCAAAAGATCGACAACAGAATCGCTTCATCCTTCAGAGTGAGGATGCGCATTCGTCCTTTGATACCGTCATCGCACGGGATGCCGTGGAGAAGAGCAACGGGGAGTGGCGCAAGGTCCAAATTGGGCAGTGGAAAAAGTGCAAAAACGAACATATCGACCGAAGATGGACTTCTTGTAGTTCCATATCTTTAGACCTACCCAATTGCTTCCTTTCCTGCTTTTCTTCTTTAGAAACCTTTAGACTCTGGACCTTCCTTTTATCGCGTTTTCCTGCCGTTTGGTTCCACGTGTGAGGATGGCTCAATTGGCTCAGACTGACAACATCATGAATACAGCAAAGTAGCTTCTTGTTACTAGTAGCGTCGTTGCTCCTAGTAGTACAGCCAGGAGCCCCTAGTAATTAGCGTCCTTGCTCCTAGTAGTACAGCCAGGAGCCCCTAGTAATTAGCGTCCTTGCTCCTAGTTGTACGGCCAGGAGCCCTAGTAGCTACTTGCTCCTAGTAGTAGGCCATCGCTACTAGGATCGCTAGTAGGTTGGAGGCCATCGCGAATCGCTACTGGGTTGGAGGCCATCGCTACTAGGTTGCAGGCCATCGCTACTAGGTTGGAGGCCATCGCTACTGGGTTGCAGGCCATCGCTACTAGGTTGGAGGCCATCGCTAGTAGGTTGGAGGCCATCGCTAGTAGGTTGGAGGCCATCGCTACTGGGTTGGAGGCCATCGCTACTAGGTTGCAGGCCATCGCTGCTAGGTTGGAGGCCATCGCTACTGGGTGGGAGGCCATCGCTAGTAGGTTGGAGGCCATCGTCAGTAGGTTGGAGGCCATTTCATAAGGTTGACCGTGCTGGTTTGTTTGCCCTTGGGATTTGCTCTTGGGTTTGCTTCGAAGAATTTTCGGTGCGACTGTGAGGGAAATCATTCCAAGCGTGTGGCTGGTCGCACATTTCGCTAGATATGTCTAACATCATTACTTGTCGTGGCGCTGGGAATCATAAGTTTGCAGCCTTTGATGAGGGTGATGGTCGCTGTGCCACAAGGATTTAGGCTTGGCTAAGGCTGCATGATGTGTTCGCAGTCATGATGCTCTTGTGCGACACCCTTGCTTGATACTCTTCCAGCGCACGCTTACACGACCAAGTTCCCTACATGATCTACATGGCCCAACATGTCTCACGTGTGCTATCGCAAATGTGCCCCCAAATGTTTGTCTCAAATGTTTGCTTTTTGTGGCAGCAGGAAGTGGAGAACAAAAAGACAAGAAGCCATGTGTCAACGCCGTGGTTTCCACAGGCTTCGATGAGACGATGCCGTGAGGCAACCCTTGCACTACCCATACCCTTGCCTACAACTCGTCAAGACACAGAGTGGGAAGAAGTGTTCGGAACATCAACTTTGCTAAAGCTCTGGTGCAGGGCACATACACACATGAGCAACGTTCTAGATTCTTCTAGCAAAGGGTCTGCAAAAACATGTCGAGCAGATGGTACCACAAGATGAGGGAGGCTTCTGGAGGCTCCACGCAAACTGTAGGCGCTGGATTTGCGGATGAGGGCGCTCTCCGTGGTTGTCCGCGAAGCCTTAAAGGGCATCGGTTCTGGGTTTGCCAGATGATCTGGACTTATCGCGATGGCCTACCTACTAGCGATGGCCTCCCGTAAGCCCTGGGTGGTTGACCGACGCCAGGGGAGAATGGGATATCCGAGTTTTCAGGGGTGAGTGCCTCTGGCCCGATTGCGGTGGCCATTTACAAAGAACCATGTTGCGCAGCTTAATCCTGCGGGCTTTCTGAGAAAGAATGGTGTTGGCAGTATCTTGCAGTCGCCTTTCTGTTTCCTAGATGCAAGATTGTGATGGAGGAGGCTGGTTGCGGCCACTGTGGAAGTTGTTCACTATCGCCTCCATATCCCTGTGCACGAGCATTTGGTTCGAGCCGTTCTCCAAAAGGGATGCGTCAAGTCTGCAAGATGAGCGCTTCCTTCGCAATTGCTGACGCGAAAAAGGCCATAGGATGGAGGCCATCGCTACATCCGGCCATCCGGCCATCCCGAAAAAGGCCATCCGGTCACATCTCACCGATGACCAGCCACCCGGCCGACAAAAAAGATCTATCCCCTGCTAGTAGGTTGGAGGCCATCGCGCTACTAGGCTTGAGGCCATCGCTATTGGGTTGGAGGCCATCACTAGTAGGTTGGAGGCCATTCCTACTAGGTTCCTTTTGCTCTTAGGTTTCAGGCCATCGTGTGAGTTGTCTAGAAGAGTGTCGCACATGAGTGCCAAGCAAGAGTGTGGCACTGGAGAGAGTGACGCGCAAGTGCCGCAAGAGTGTTGAAACAAGAGTGTCCTTGAAAAGCTGCGAGTTTCACGCCGTCTGAGATCAACATGCTTGGCAATTTTGTTTCTGGGTTTCCTCTTGTTTGGCCTCGCTTCTGCCCTGTAGGTCTCAGACTTAAGTGCCCGCTGCCACTCACAAAGCTTTTCAAGTGCCTCTAGGTTTGTCCAATGTTTATTTTCCAGGTTGAACATGTTTTTCATGTTTGCCAGGTTTGGGAAGGCTTCCGCGACCCTGGCCTCTTCAGTTTCTACCAGTTCATGACTGTGCAGCTCAGTGGTATCATATTTTGCCGCTATCGTGCGCGGATTATCATCAAGATCGCGAGCAGTATCATGCTCCTTACCACTGGCACATTGATCAGACTGACGCCCTCCAAGGATGTCTTGAACCGAGTCCATGACCACTCACAGCCAAGGGAACTCATGCAGTGGATCGTGCCAGCTGCCATGTGAGGTGTTGAAAAAAGGGTGGTGGGGTACATGCGAGCTGACTTCATAGGGTCTGTTCAAGGGGTTTCGCCGCGTAGGTTCCTGAAGACAAGACAACTTGGCTTGGTCGTTTCCTTCGTTTTGTTCCCTGCGAGGCTTTTCTTAGATGTGTTGGAGCTGGCCCTGGTTGCATGCTTACAAGATAGCGATGCTGCGACGATGGGCTACAAGAGGAAGCGGTTTACCCGGCTCTTCAACGAGCCTTTCTTCCTTTGGATGGTGATGAGCTGTCACGTTTGCTGCAACAGCGATCTGTACATCACATTTGCCAACCTGCAGTTCAGTGCCTAGAGTTGTGTTTAGTGCCTATCGCCCTGAAAGCAGGCTCCGGCAACTTGTGGTGCGAAAGCCAGAGGACACTTAGGTTTGGTGCCGTGACGGAAAAAGATGACATTTGGAAGAGCTTGAAAGGATCCGAAGGGAATGCGTAGACTTGCTTTCGCTGGCTTTTGTCACTGTTCCGGCTGTTCTTCTGGCTATGCTAGATAGAGGCCATGCACACAGCCTTTGCATGCTTTTTTGCCCTTTGCTAGGGTTTAGTGGACAAGGCTAGGCGGAGTGTCACATGGTTTCACACGACAACAAGATTCTTTTCGATTGCTCAACAGCCCAACCTTGTCTATTCATCCTGCAACGGCCAGCCGCAGAGATACGCTTCCAACCAGAAAAGGCGCGTGTTTGCGTCTTTGCCAGCCTGTCCAAATGCGGGTGGCAATCCTTGCACTTGTGGCAATGCTGTTGATATGGGTTAAACTCCGTTTCAGACACTACACGCATTGCAGCAACCGCGTTTCAGGAACTTCTCACGCGCAGGCGTGTGTCAAACTACGCTTAACAGGCGTGCAAAGTTGAACAAAAATCCGTCGCGAGTTGGCAGTTCTTGTCGTTCATGGTCGTTCGTCAGCTCGTTCGTCAGCTTGTTTTAAGATCGGGCTGGAGGAGTCGGTGTAGATGCGCAGGTGGATGTGTGCCGGTGAAAAGTGGTGAAAAGCATCTCACGCTGCATGAGGTGGAGATTTTCAGGAGATTCAAAGAAAAGAACAGAGTATTTTCAAACAAAACGTGTAGAGAAAAGTGTAGAAACATGTGGAGGTTAGAAAAGATATTTTCTAGAGCAAAGTGCAGTAAGGCATCGAAAAGTTGAGTTTTTTGTCGAGACATGGGTAGAGAGGACCAGCGAGTACAGACGAGTAGATTTACGCAAAGGTGTAGGACATCTTGCTTCCTTGCACCTCTCTGCCTTGCGGGAGATTGCCTGGTATATTGAGCTTGTGACACCAACAGCCTTTTTCCGGTAAAGATTTTCAGGTGGATCGGAGTGAGAGTCTCTCCACTTGTTTTTACTAGGAGCAAGGATGCTACTAGGGGCTCCTGGGCCTCCTTCTGCGTATTCGCCGTGGCGTATCCCTTCCTGTCGATCCTTCCTGCTGGGTTTGTCACGGGATCGTTTGAACCCGTAACGCCGAACTGAGTAAAGGTACTGGCCACGCGTAGGCGTTGATCACTTGGACAGTGAATCACTTGCTCATGGGACATGATGAACATGGAAGCTTCTAATGTTTTCTACAGCTTCGAAGTGTGACTGGTTGGCTCAGGAAAATAATCTCAAAGAGCCTCCCTATTAGGTTGGAGGCCATCGCGCCATCGCTCTTGGGTTGGAGGCCATCATCTCAATCAGCTTCCTTCTTCCTCAGCCATTTAGGACCTCAGACGGATTGGGACTCCTCAAGAAATCCACGAGCTCTATGGCTTTGAACTACCATGTCGGACAGCTGGTGGTGGTGCGGGACGATGAGGAACAAAATTGGCATTGTGCACGCATCTACCAGACATCTCCGGTCTTGGTGAAGCTTCGACCACGAAGTTCTCCATCAAAATACAAATTCATGAAGCCCTTGGAAGCTTTGACGGAACATGAGGCCAAGAATGTCTTAGCTTTGGAACAGCAACTGAGGAACCGTATGGACCTTGGTCCGGATCCTCCTCCAATGGGCCTAACTGCTGAAGAGCAAACGGCCTATCCATCCATTGCAGCAAAGGCAAATTCTTCCTTCTTGACAGTGATCTTGCTGATTGGGACACTGTCCCCGGTGATCTTGAACAATCTTTGGCTCATGACGGCAAATGTTGTGAATGAAGGAGATGGGCACCAGCACTTCTGGTGGTACACACTAGTCTTCGACAACTACTTCATGATTGTGAAGGGCCTCATGTTCTCGGCCTTTTTCTACGCCTTTTTGCCAGAGCCAGCGAAAGGTGGGACTGCAGCAGTACTTAAGTCAATGGCTGAATCGGAGTGTGTTTATTCAACTGCTCAAGAACCAATCCACGTGTTTTGGGGATGTTACCTGAAACACTGAATTGTTGGCAACGTCGCTGTTGGTTTTGATGAATCTTTCATTTCTGCAATGGTGTGTGCTGCAAGCAGCTTCAGGGTATGTTTATTCGGGTTGATGCTTGTAACTAAGCTTGTGGCTTGTTTCCGCATGATGGGAGGTCACCGCAAGTGGTTGTATTGGCTTCTTGCCATAATGTGGCCACTCTTCTCCTTTCTCATCCACATGTCTCTTTTCCGAACTTCAGAGTGGGCGATGTGGGAGATGGGAGAGACTTTGATCAGAAACGAAGGTTCCGCTTCGACATGTTCAGAAAGTACAACGTTCGGCACTGAGGCTGTGGTTGGCGGTGAACACGGTGGGCTCAGATGATGCATGGGGCTTGATGAAACTCAACTTTCCCGTGGGTGCTTCTGCGGCCGTATTTGCGTGGATGCCTTTGTGCCTGTACGCGCCTTGGCCAGGTTTTCATGCAATTTTTTGATGGAAGGTATATTTACTTTGTTGTTTTTTGTTTGTTTATTTCTGTTTTGATCTTTTTTGGTGGCTTTTGGTTTTTGATCGGCAAAAGGCGGTTTTTTGAGCAGCCAAGGGGCAATACAGTCGAGAGGAGCGCTTTTTCGCAACCAAGAGATTTGTGGTGATCATCGTCATTTTGGTGGCAGACCTCATTTTCATCAGTTCCTCACACTTGGTCTTGCTTCTCTTCAAGGCTTTCGGAGATGGAGAGTTTGGGGCACCAGACCCACTGGTGAGAGCCATCGTGGAGTTGGCATTCCTGTTGGGATTCATGCAAGGCCGGGTCGCTCCAGAAACGACACTCTACGTGCAATGAGTTCACATGAAACCATGCCCAGAGATGCCCAGAATAGTTAATTAAATTCATTGGATAAAACCAAATCACATGAACCAAGCAATGCAGCCACGCAGCCGCCACGCCACCAGTCTACATGCCCTTGCTCGGGAAAGTGTGGCAGATTGGATTGTTGCTCTTCGACACATTGGCTCCGATGAAGGACTTGCAAAGGCAGCGCATGCTCTACTTTGCCACAGTGATTTTAGACATGCACCGCTACATGTACGTTCGGGAGATGATGTAGCTTGGCCGCCTTGGCCGCCTGGGCCGCCTTTGCGCTGTTGATGTTCCGTCCACAGAGTAGGGCTCCAATTTTTGTCCAAGCAGTGAAAGCGCCAGACAGCTAAGGTATATGACGGAATCTGTACCGGTGGTGATTTGCATGGTCTTCAAGGACTTTGTTTCTAATAGCTTCTTGTTACTACTAGTAAGGCACTTGTTACTAGTAGCGATGCACTTGTTCCTACTAGCTTCTTGTCTTCAAGGACTTCGTTTACGACGTCTATCACTTTGGTATGTCGTCCTCTCCGGCATTGCAGTCCGCCGAGCTCATGGGCATTCCGACGTGGAAGCTCTTCCTCGGCGTGAGCGAGGCGGTCCCGTGCGGCGGGGGTCTCCGGTAGACCGGAGGCTATCGGAGAGTGTCCAGTGGCATCCATGGTGACATGGATGGACATCACGGAAAGGGTAAAACCTCGAAGTGGTGACCTCAGCATGGCTTGGCAGGAGCAGGAGTTGTTTCATCATGTTTCATCCATCTCGGCGCCAGACAGATGCTGTAAAGACTTTCTGGGCCGTAGGATGTGTTGCATGTCCAGAAGCCTCTTTGTGCTTCGTCTGTGTCAGGTTCGTGTAGCTTCCTCGCGAGCTTATGAGATCTGCATCTTCATCGTGAAGATGTTGGGGGATTTCTTGGAATTGCCCTACTTCCTCACCTCGGTCTTCACCTGGACCATCGACTGTGGCTATCCCAAGCAGACCCACTCTACCAGCTTTTGCTTCGCAGAGACCAAGGCGGGTGTATGTTTGCGGACAAGCAGTTGCAGCACAACAGCTAACGACACGCCACTCAGATTCCTGCTACTTTTCCGTGGACTTTTGCCAGTTCAGGTGACGTTGGTGAACGTCCCCAGTGACTTTGGGGCTGAGTTCAAAGAGTGGGCCTACAAAACGGCAAAAGACCGACAACAGAATCGCTTCATCCTTCAGAGTGAGGATGCGCATTCGTCCTTTGATACCGTCATCGCACGGGATGCCGTGGAGAAGAGCAACGGCGAGTGGCGCCAGGTGTGCAGTCGTCCAGAAGTTCAAACATTCACAGAGAAGATGCACTTGTTTTCCTCCCTCTCTCTCTCTCTCTATTACTATTTTATGTTCATTTCTTGCTTTTTCACTTCGGGGTGGGAAGGATCGGGCCGAGCCCAAGGTTGAACGAACATTTGTTGTTCATCGGATCGGTATTCAGCTCGCCTGAAGGACCTCCAAACAATGCTTTCCCAAGAAAGCTTTGAGAGCAACAAAGATCGAGAAGCAGTCAGAAAAACAACAAGACCTTCTTGAGTGTAGATTTGTTCGACCAAAACGAGACAAACAACGATGCACTATGATGCAATAAGGAGGAGTCAGAGTGCTTTGGAAAGACTTGAACTTTGACCAATCTTTCCGGCGCCTCTTTTCTTTTCTTTTTTGGATATCTGTAGGAACAATGCTACTTAGGGGCTCCTGGCCGTACTACTAGGAGCAGGAAGCTACTAGGAACAATGTTCGCTACTAGGGGCTCGACCGACCTAACTCGGTATATCGCGTTTTTCCCAGATAGCGAAGCTATGGGGTTCTTACTTTTCAAACAACAATGAGTTGCCCGTGCGCGCTTTCGAGACACGTTGCTGGTGCTGGTGCCGGGTGCTGGTGCCGGTGCTGGTGCTGTGAGCTGGCTGTGCACGTGGTGGAGGCAGGGTGCCGGTGCCGGTGCTGTGCTGGTGCTGGTGGTCCAGCTTGCATATGTGAGGGGGTCTATTATCGGATCTTTTTCACCAGATAGCGAGCCTGTGGCTGGGGCTCTTACTTCAAATAACAATGAGCTGCCTGCGCGCGCTTTC